GGCCAGCTGCTCCTGCAAGTGCAGGTCAGGCTCTGTCTCTGGGCCAGCTCCGTGCCGAAGCGGTCCTCAGCCTCACACAGTCTTTGTGGAATGTCAGTGTCAGTGAACAGGGGTGGAGGTTGTAAGGTAAATGGGTTAATCAGGCTTTTAAGCCACTAACCTCTGTGGCTATCACCTGGGGCCTTGATCACGGTAACGCAGAAAGCGCTTGGGAGCATGGGCACGGGCACGCGTGCCTGATGGTGGCCACCTGGAGTATGGTGTGGGCGTGCGCAGAGCCTAGGGGCCCGGGGTATAAGGGCAGCGATGAGCGGGCAGGCGGCACGGCTGCAGAGAGGCGAGGCCAGGAGGGCCGCAGAGGGCGTCCTGGGGGACTGCGAAGGCTTGTGGGGGCTGGAGGCTCTGTTGCCTTCCTGCCTGCTCTCCTAGCTCCCCCAACACCGCCCCCCCCCCACCTCAGTGTGCCTCTTTGCATGCCAGGCTCCCTGCCTGGGGTGTCTGGTTCCCTGAGAGCACATTAACACCTGCAGAACCCACCGAGGGCTCCAGGACTCAGCTGATCCATCTGCCGGGACCCAGAGTGAACCTGCTGGAAGTACAGAGGTTAAAGACCCCTTCAGCCTTGTCAGGAAGGCCAGCACACCCCAAGACATCGCCAGCTGGGGAACAATCCAGTTCTGTCTGAGGGAACCAAGCAGGTGTTGTGGCCCTTCAGCGAGGGCCTGAGGGGCGTGGCCAGCCTGCCCTGCTCACCCCCGCACTGTCATGTCTGAGAGCAAGGCAAGAAGTCGAGCTCGCTGGGCTCTGTGTCCAGCTCAGCGTGGGGGCCTCCTGCCTCCGCTCGCCCGCATGGCGAGGACCAGAAGCTGCAGCCGCAGCGAGCAGCGGGACCCCCGGCAGCCACCGCCCTAGCATCTCTCTCCACATCCTCACCCCCATTTCTCGCTTATCGGGAAGAGAGACACCCACACAAGGTTATCCTCACCTTAGAAACACCTTAAGTTTGTTTTTGAGATGGAGGCACAAGAAGTGGGCGGGGCGGTTACCGCCCATCTCTGGCCCTTCTGGTTTTGTCTGTGAAATGCCCCCTTCGCATGTCCAAAGGACCCCCCATGCCCACTCTTTCTGGAGCCCTTGAACCTGGCATCTGCAGTCGTTTCCCACAGACTAAGGTGAATCTTTCAGAGACTCCACATCTCCTGTCTGTATCTACTGCAGGCGCTCCCCCATCCCCGCCCTCCTCTGTCTGCAACCGATGCTACCGCCCTCTGTGTCCAGGTGGCGACTCCCCAGTGAGGGGCGACCTCCCCAGTGAGCAATCTGCCTCTGCCTCTGGCCAGCACCGGTCCCCTGCTCTCGCTGGGCCTCCTAGATGGAGCTTGGCATTCTGCCTTTCCCAGATCGCGGCCCTGGTTCTGTAACTTGGAGCAGGGTGAAGGTCAGCTGCAGGGGTGAGCACCCACATGCAAACCAAGCGGGAGGTCTGCACCTCTTCCCAGCCAGCTCCTTGCATTGGCCTCCGCCACCTCTCGGGCGCCGGTACCCACCCGCTCAGGCCTAAGCAGACACAGAAGCTCCTCCCTGGGGGACTTGTCTGGGCTCTGGGACACCCGGGCCCAGCTATCCAGGAGCCCGGGAGACTGCTGGTGTCATAGCGTAGAATGGGGACGCAGAGGCCTTCCGCCCAGCTTGCCTTCCCGTGAGCTCTTCCTGTAAGGGCACGCAGTGTCTCCCTGGATTGGGGGATCTTTCTGCGCTGCTGTGCCGAGCATCTCAATAGCGCCTAAGCTGCTTTCACCCGCTACGACTCTGAGAGAGACTTGGGTACATGGAGCCTGGGAGTTGGGCCGGGATCGCAGCGCACATGAGCAGCAGAAGACAGATGCCGCCAGGTTTTCTGAAACCACCGCCACTGACCGTTTCCACGGGGGCGAGATTCTCAGTGGCGTGTTGGGTCGCTGGTTTACAGGTAAGGAAGAGGACTATTTGGAAATAAGTTAACTGTGGCCAATTATTCAAAAAGATAAACATCAGATGACCTTAGGAGCTCTCTCTTTAGCAAAGTTAGGATCCTAGTATTTATGTACTAAAATTTATAAATTCCAGAAAGAGAATTACTTTTCTGTTAGTGGTTTTCCCAGCTTTTGCCTGGTCAAAGTGCAGTTTCACGCTCCCACCCAGCTGGGGCCCCATCTCTGGGACAGCGAGGCGCAGACAATTGCATGACCTCACCACAGCTGCATCTCTGCAATGCAGGCCCCTTCCCCCGCCCCCACTCGAGGCTCCCGCCGCCTGTGGGAGTTTCCCAGCATCAAATACGCGGAGGTTTTATTACCGCACCATGGCCCTACCTCGGTTTTCCTATAAACCAAAGTTCATTAAATCCAAATGCTTTGATGTGAGGACACAGTTCCTCTTAGCATTGCCATCAGTCAGCCTGGGACCAGTTTTGAGGAGTTTCTGGTGGGCACAGACGTTTCCCAGAGTCCACCCCTGTGTCTCCTAACACATCAGTAAGAAGATGGGCCAGGCAGGTAGATCGCGGGGAGGCCGTCACCCACACCAGGCAGGGGGCGCCCTCCAGACCCGGAGTCCCTGGGTTTCACATAAAAAGCTTGAGCGGGGGTGGCAGACAGGTCTTCGCACGTCAGAATGGACACGCAGGTACGGACAGACCAGGTTAGACCGGACAGTGTCTGCTGGGGTAGAGGAGCCCACTGAAGTCCCACGGGTGCGGGGGCTGACTCCCAGCCTGCAGCTCCCATGCGGCTGCTCTTGCTGCAGCCTGAGGTCTGCACCTGCCTGAGCCGCAGGCTGAGGAGTGTGGTGGCTGCTGGCTGTTATTGAAAGGGAACTGTATCCCCAGGTGAGAGTTCCAGCATCTCAGAGAAAATCTTGCTGTTCTCAGGGACATCAGAAGAAGAGAAAGGGGGGTTATTTATTAGCTTGAACTAATAATCAACCTCGGGTGCTTAGAGACAGCAAGAAGTACTCGGGCACCGGCTAGGCCAGGCTTCAGGATGCCTGGCTTCGCCTCCCCCGTTGGTGTGTCTGAGTTCGTCTTGCCAGCCCGCCCGGCCTTCGCCTCCTCGCCTATGAATGGAAGAAGCAGGTCCTTGTAAGGCCCCCTGATTCCGACTGTTTCGGATGGCGCCACCCAACTGTCTGCAGTGGCGAGAACACCCTCCCTCCCCGCTGCCCTCCCGGTGTGGCGCCACGAGGTGTGCAGGGACCGAGCGCTGGCAATGCAGCCGGTGCCACTGAGCAATTGGACGTTTCCTTTTATTGAATGAAAAGTTCAGTCACCATCTACAGTCAGTGGTTACCATTTGGGGCAGACAGCCCTAGGATTCTAGAACCAGAGACTGGTTCTGTCCAGTCTGTTATAGTTTCTCAAACTACGGACATCCTAGACGAGTTTTGCACAGGGATTGAACCTGAGAAGAACCACCGGTTGCAGTCAGCAGAAGCTGCAGTTAGCCAAAAGCCCTCTCCCTGGGTGTGGCGGCCCATGGAAGTTCCCCCACCTCCAGGGGCCAACCTCGCTGGCGCAGCGGGAGCTGGGAGCCTGTGTGCCAGGCCTGCATGCAGGGTCGTGTCCAAGGGCCCTGGGCGCTGCAGGGTCCAATCCGTTCCTCATCATTTCTTGGTAGGTCCCGAGGGCAGATCCTTAATAGAAGCATCGCCTCAGCTCATTAAGGAAGAACTCCGTGCTTGGAGGGGGCGTTCAGGATTGCTGTTCCTGGCTGTCTTCCCCCTATCTGCCACGACCAGTCTTGTGCCAGGTCGGGCTTCACTGAATCTCCCAACTGGATCCCTTATTTTTCCGACCCCACCCACAGCCTTTGTTGAGACCCCGTCAGCTTCTTCCACCCTGTCAGTCGGTTTCCTTCCTGCCTCTCAGCCAACTTGTTTACCCTCCTCGGTGAAACTCTGAAATACCACTCTGGTCATGTCACCCCCGGCTCAAATCCTGCAGCCACCTTCCCACAGCCTTCTGGGTGGAGTCCGGGCCCTTTGGGGAGTACCGAGGCCCCCCACGGTCTGATACCTCCGAGCCATCTGGGCTGTATTTCCAGCCACATTTGCAGGCCCTGCTCCCCAGGAGGGCCACTCGCGGCCTCCCAGGAGGGCTTCCCTGCGGACCCCACACGCCACCGCCCCATGTGCCCTGCAGACATCCTGCTCATCCCTCAAGACCCATCGCGGTCCCACCAGCTACGCGAGGCTCCCCTTCTGTGCCCCAGACTAGCACTTTCTCGCCATCTCTGCTGCATGGGCTCTTGCTCGCCAGGCAATCCGGAGCGCAACAGAGCTGCGCTGGCAGCGGTAGAAACGGCTGATGACCATCATCTGGCTCCTTTAGGAAGGAGCGGGCTGTGCTCACTGGGCTGAGCCTTTTTCTGATGAGCGACCCCCTGGTAGCGGCTGGATGAGGCTCAAGCGTGGGGTTATTGCAGTATTATCCCAGTTACAGTGTTTTGGCCTCTGTTTCTGGCCTGATTCCCTCCCTCCTCTCTCTTCCTTCATCACTTGGCTCTGGCTCAATTGCCAGCTTTTAACTGGTTTGTGACTAGCAAGTCTTTAGTGAACATCCCTCAAGTCTTTAAGGAAGCAGAAGGGGCATAAAAGGAAATAGAAAGTTTTGCCATGTTGCTCTGGAGCCCAACCGAGTAGAATTGGTGGGGGGTGGGACGGGGGGGGGGTACAGCAGCCTAAAGGACCACGAGAAAGACGCGTTTGCAGGGCCACTGAACGAGGCCTTATTTGCCATTAGCTCAGAATACAGGCTCTTTGAAGCAGCAGATACAGCCGGAAACATCAGCAAAGAGAACAATTTGCCCGTGAAATGAGAGGCAGCTTCTAAGAGGTGGGGGCGGGGCGCCCCTGGCACCAGGCCTCCTGGGGAGGGGGGCGCGCTGCAGGCACTGTTTGGCCCCCCTGGGAGGGCCGTGGTCAGCCTCCTGCGGCCTGTCCAGGATCCACTGCACTGAGAGCCCTCAGTAGCGGCCCTGGGGGCAGGGCACACACGGCACAAGGACAGTGCGGGGCAGGCACGGGGACGGGGCACACGGCGGGCAGGAGGTCGTGGAGCACGGGTTGCAGGGCAGCCTGCAAAAGAAAGGCGTGGTCAAGAAGGCCAGCCCGCAGCGAGCCCGGCTGCCCGTCGTTGGCAGGAGGCTGCAGCCCCGGCCTCTACCATCATGTGGCCCCGATGGCCTCCCACCTTAGCGCCCAGCCCCACTCTGCCGCCACTCACCATCAGCAGCTTAGTGACCCGGTGATCCGCAAGCACAATCTGACCATTCCCCTCACTGACACCCTCAGTGGTGCCCGGTTGTACAGAGAATGAGAGCGCCTCCCCCTCGAAGCCTCCCCTGATGTCTCCCTGTCCACTTCCCCTCTGGAGACCTCATCCATATGGCTCTGTGGTTATTCAGAGGCCTAGCGGGTCTGTGTCCCCACTGGGCATTCGGACCAGCTGCCATGCATGGACGCAGACTAGCTCAGCAGGTGCTTAGGGCTGCGCTGAGTAAGGGGACTCGCTCGATAAACAGAAGCACAAGGCCAGAGGCGGACAGTAGCAACACGCTGGACACTGGACAGGCCCTGCGCTGAGACTGGCCTGGCCTTCAAGGGCCACACCAAGCCGGAAATGTGCTTGATTTGGCCAACATTGTCTTTTCATCAGTTTGTTAAAAATATTCAAAAAGCAGGAGAAGCTACCATTTAAAAGAAATCCAGATTCCTGGATAATCAGGAGGCACAGCAGTACTTGGCTCATCTCTCTCAGTCTCCCTCAAGGCCCTTAGCACATGGTGGGCCTTCAAGGGGCTTGTCCACTTGCAAGGGAGTGGGGTAGTCTCCAAGGGCTGGGTTTGGGGTGGTAGCAGGAATGCCTGCCTGACTCCCTCCAGATCACACCAGCTCCCTAATCACGCCATGATCATGACAGGGTCCTAGCACATGGAGGACCCAGAACCTCCCTAGAAACTGCCCCAACTCTCGCACACGTCTCTCTGTGCAGCCTCAGCTGGGCCCACGTACTTGCAGTCCTCGCTCTCCAGCAGGCCCCGGTATGTGTTGATCTCGCTCTCCAGCCGGGCCTTGACGTCCAGCAGCACCTTGTACTCCAGGTTCTGCCTCTCCAGGTCAGCCCGGATGTCAGCCAGTGAGGACTCCACATTGCCGATCATGCACTGCATCTGGGCCAGCTGGGAGCCGTAGCGGGCCTCAGTCTCCGTCAGGGTGTTCTCCAGGGAGTCCCTCTAAGGCAAAGAATAGCAAAATGGCTGTGAGAGGTAGAACCGTTTTCCAAGCCTGGCTCAGACAGGACCGAGAGCCAAGTCGCTCGAAGGGCTGGGAATGATCCCTCCCTGCCTAAGCCACTGTGAAAACTGAAATCCAGAGAGCAGCAGGGATGTGTCCATGAGGTAGCCACCAGTAAGTGACCACACTAGGGTTGGAGGTCCAGCTAACCCTGAACTCATTTGTCTTCTTCAGTGTTAGTCTGGCATCAGTTTTTGGTCTCAGGTTCTCCGGGCTCCTCCCCAGAACTTCATTACAGCAGTGGCCTTCAAGGCTGCTTGCTACACATTGGTGGGAGCCTTTTAAAAATACCCGGGCCAGTCCCACCTCCAGAGTCCCACCTCCAGAGACACCAGCTCAGCTCCCCTAGGGAGGAGCCTACAGGTGTGGCCAAGGAGCGCGGGTTTGGAAGGGCAGGCTGAGAGCAAACCCTCTTGGGGACTAGATGCGGGCCCCCCCTCCCTCCTTTCTCCTGCCTGCACCCAGACTGGTGCCACCCTGGAGGCTGAGCCGGGGAGCACCTTGTCCCCCCACCAAGACTCACCAGACTGTGCTGGGCCTGCAGCTCAATCTCCAGTGTGTTGACCGTGCGTCTCAGGTCAATGATGTCTGACTGGTAGCTCTGAAGTTGCTCCGAGCTTGTGGCCACTTGCTGGTTCAGCTCCTCCATCTGCAAAGGGGGAGAGAAGGAGAAGTTGGGTGCCCCTCGGGACACCGGGGCGGCCTCCCCCACACGAGAGGCCCACCTGCATGTTAAACCACTCCTCCACATCCCTGTGGTTGGTCTCCACCATGGTCTCGTACTGACAACGCATCTCCTCCAGCATCCTGTTCAGGTCCACGGGGGGCGCGGCATCAACCTCGATGTTAAGGCGGTCCCCAAGCTGGCATCGGAGGGCACTGACCTCCTGAAAAGGCACAGGAGTCCCAAGTAAGTGGGAAGTCTCAGGGTCCTGCTTTGTGCCCCAGGAGACACAAGCGCTTGGTTCCAAAGATGCTCAAGGTCGCTGTGCTAGAGGCACCCTGATGCCTGTCGTCTCCCCAGTAATTCAGCAGCCTTCCTGCTCCAGCTGGACACTCTGACAGGAGCCGCATCCCAGCACAGTCCTCTGCTCACTGGGCAGCGGCCAGGAGCCGCAGCAGGAGTTGTTGGGCCCATTGGAGCTACAGTGGGGAAGCTGGACCCCCACATTCCCAGCCCCCCACCCTCCACCCCCGTGTGTGTTCATCTGGGAAGCAGGGCAGCAGGAGCCCAGTTTCCCCTAGCTCCAGGCCCAAGTTAGCACAGGCATCTCGCCAGGCTCAGCTGCCAGAGAGAGAAAGTTGTCGCTGAGGCTGCGGAGCGTGCGATAAGCCTCATTAGTGGCTTTTTGGTGAGGCTCCCAGTTCTCTGATTCAAGTGGGATGACTCAGGCACCTTAGGGTGCATGGGGAGGGTGGTGACTGCAGGTTGCTCTACACTCAGCCTCGGAACCCAGCCAGGGCTCAGGGCACCTACTCCTACAGGTCCCGAGTCAGGAGTTAAGAGTCAACCCAGAGCAGAAGGAAAAACGCCAAAGCGCAGGTGGGCGCTGCACACAGGTGCGGGGAGGGCAGTCCCCAGGGAAGCAGAGTCGGGGCGGGGGGTGGGAATCAGAACGCAAAGCGCTGACCTGGGGCTTTTGGGCAGTGTGTGTGATAAGCCAACAGGAAAGAGGAAGTAAAACAAGGACGAGGAAAGGAAAATTTTTTAAGAAGTGCAGTGCACTTCTTAGAAGAGACGGGGCCCCGGCAGGAGGGACAGGTTCGAGAACACAAGTCTGCTCTGGCCCCAAAACCGCCTGCCCCGTGTGCAGCTCTCGTGAGCAAAGCAAATGCAGCGGCCACAGCCTTTGGCATCAGTCAGGGCCAGGACGTGCAGAGGGAGGTTGCGGCATTGCTCAGCACTGACTCTGTGGCAGGGCTTTGTGCCCAGGACCTCGCTTACTCCTTGCAGCAATTGTGTGCGATAGACTTTCCCCTGCTCTACAAAGAGGAAGCTCGGGGAGGCTAGGCCAAGTCGCAGAAGCTCCGTGTGGCAGGCCTGGGGACGGCAACCACTCTGCCCAGTGCCCAGCCCCACACACTTCCCACCCCGCCTCCAAGGGCCACCTCCGCTCAACTAGGGCACTCACCTCCTCGTGGTTCTTCTTGAGACACAGCAGCTCCTCCTTCAGGGACTCCACCTGGGCCTCCAGGTCAGCCTTGCACAGGGTCAGCTCGTCCAGGATCCTGCGCAGGCCGTTGGTGTCGGCCTCCACCAGCTGGCGCAGGGCCAGCTCCGTCTCATACCTGCGCAGGGGACGGGTCAGCCACAAGGGCTGAGCGCAGACCCAGGGAAGACCTTGACCCGCTAGTGCTCTGCCCACTCCCTGTGCCACCAGTGCAAACCACCCGCCGCGTGTGCAGGGAGAGGGGGCGCCCTGCCCCCAGCCAAACTCACTTGGTCCTGAAGTCATCGGCTGCCAGCTTGGCGTTGTCAATGTGCACCACCATCCTGGCGTTCTCTGCCTTGGTGCACAGAACCTGCGGGCCAACACACAGGGTTAGTCTGGGAGGAGAAAGAAAAGGGCCTGCATGAGAGGATGGGAGCCCTGGGAGGCTCCGCCGCTGGCACCCAGCGCTGCAGAAGCCCTCTCCCTGGAACTTGGGGGCTGTAAGTAAACTGCCAGTCTTGGAGGTCTAGAGAATTATTTCCTAATCACCTGGGTCTTCCTGAACCCTAAATGCAATGAGCCATGTGGAAGGAAAGAATCCCATCCAGGCTGGAGTTGTTCATGTGATGGACTAGTCCTGAGCTGAACACTCAGGACTAATCCTGAAGACTGGCACTTCCTGAAAATGCACCTGCACAGGGGGCCATACTGAGCAGCGATTAACTCACTGCAGCCACTCACGGGCCTGCTTCACAGCCATTTAAGAGCAAGACCTCTGTCATTCCCATTTTACAGAAGAGGAAGCTGAGGCTTCAAGAGGCGAAGGGACCTCCCAAAAGCAGGCTCTCAAAATCACTGGTAGGACTGAAACTAAATCCTGGCCTCTTTCTACAGGAAAGGCTCTGGGGCCCTCCCTGGTGGCACAACAGGTTAAAGCACAGCACTACGAAGCTCTCCACCACCCCTGCAGCACGGGTTCAACCCCAACCTGGAGGTGCAGCAGACCTCTGCTGTCTCCCCGCTGCTCCCCTCAGCAGTGTATTTCAGTCAGTCCTCCTCTTCTGCTCCCCCACTCTGTCTCTGATGAACCCTGTCACCCTCCGCATCTCTGGCCTGTACCCCAGTTCTGTATGCATCAATAGATAAATCTTAAAAAAAAAAAGAAAAGGAAGGGCTGTGACCAAGCGCCAGATGACGAGATTCCCTCTGCCCTGGGGAAGCCTCTTCCCTGAACATAGTTTAGTGGTTCAGGAGACTCAGACCTGGAATGGCAGCCACGCCGCTCGCATCCCCAGCCAGTCTGCTCACTCTCACCTTCTGCTGCAGCTCCTCGATGGTCCTGAAATAGGACTGGTAGTCGGGACACATGGTGGGCACCTGGGACTGGCAGGCCTCCTGGATCTTGCTCTCCAGGCTGGCGTTCTCCTGCTCCAGCTGGCGCACCTTCTCCAGGTAGCTGGCCAGGCGGTCGTTCAGGACCTGCATGGTCTCCTTCTCGTTGCCATTGAAGGTCCCTTCACAGAGCCAGCTGCAGGTCCCCATGGAGCTGGTTGGCCGGCAGCTGCTGGGCCGGCAGGAGCTGGATAGGTAGGTCTTGGGGAAGCAGCTGGCTGGCCGGTAGCTGGTGGGCATGCAGACAGAGGGCACGCAGGTCATGGGCTGGTAGACGTAACCCAGGCACAGCTCGGGCCGGCAGCTCATGCTGCTGGAGCAGACAGAGGAAGGCCGGGGGCAGCTCTTGACAGAGGCTGGCAAGCAGCTGGATGTCATGTTAGGTATATCTTCTCGTCTGCAGCTGCCGGGATCACCAGCGTCTGTAGACTCCATCCTGCTTGGGCCTTTTTATACCCTTGGAGTGAGGGGGCTCACGCTAGAAAGTCATCATGGGGGTGTTGATGCTGATCCTGAGCCCCACAGGAAGCTGCTAATTAATTTATAATTGAGTTTCCAACAAGGAGTTCCTTTCCTCGTAAAAGGGACTAAGCATGTCATTTGGCTCATGCAGGACTCTGGGCTCCTGTCATTGACCACCAGGACAGAGCTTCAGGACACATCTTCAAAGGACCAGCTCTGGGCCTGGGCTCTCATTATCAAGGCGGGGCTCCAGGAGGCCACGGTGGCCTGGCCACCTGCACCCCCGCCCACTCCCACCCTGAGAAAGTCCGCAATCCCGTGGGCCAACAGCTGCTCCCTTTAATGAGAGCATTCCCTGTGGGAAGAGGCCCGGCCCCTTAACAAGGAAATGTGTGGGTGACGGAAGTTGCATCGATACCGGCAGAAGCGTAAGTCTAGGGAAAGAGCTGCTGAGGCTTCCTAGCCTGCATCATAGTCATGCCAAGCAGGAGAAATAGGATCAGGGAGGAGTGCACTGGAGGCAAAGCAGAAAGCCCAGGAATAAGGGAGGCCTGGTTAGTAGACATTACCAAGAAAGAGGAGGGCCCCACTCCGGGGAAAGAGCTCAATAGCATGAACGTCTCCGTAAGGAAGATGCTCGACTTTCTAGTTCTCTCCCTTGTTGATCACCTCAATGGATGGGGCTTTCGAGAGATCCAGTTATTGGTTGGACAGGCTAAGGTTAGTCAGGCTGAGGTTGGACAGGCCAGAGTTGGGCAGGCTGAGGTTGGAGAGGCCAAGGTTAACAGGCTGAGGCTGACAGGCTGAGGTTGACAGGCTGAGGTTGGACAGGCCGAGATTGACAGGCTGAGGCTGACAGGCTGAGGCTGGCAAGGCTGAGGTTAGACAGGCTGAGACCAACAGGCTGAGGCTGAAAGGCTGAGGCTGGCAAGGCTGAGGTTGGGCAGGCTGAGACTGACAGGCTGAGGTTGGACAGGCTAAGGTTGACATGCTGGCTCAGACCCTGCTATCATTTACTGTAATGGGAGACAGAGAGGGCTCCCTTGGGGTCATTGCTGTGTATCAGCTCCCTTGCAACCCCGAGACAAGCTAAGCCAGGAATTGGGAAGCATCTCCGAGCACAGAAGCCCTGTGCGTTCCTTGAAAATGTGTCATGCCACGCCACTGCTTTTCAGTCCTGCTGCAGTGCTTGCGGGCTCTCAAGCTCGGGTCTAACGTGTAGGCCTCCGTTTATTCATTGATCATCTTAATTTAATATTGGGGTGTAAGCACTTGTCTTAATTTTCATATGTTCCTCAAAGTGTTAGTGAGGGGGCAGGCCACAAAGCCGTATACAGTCAAGGTAGAGAAGCCATGGGGTGGTTTGCAGATGCATCATTTTAAAGTTCAGTAACTAGAATTCTTCATCATGATCAAAGTTGCATGAAAATGACCAGATACAGTATGTATAATTTGCCCTGCTTTGCAACCTTTTATGATTTGTTGGTAATTGATTTCCTCACAACCAAATGCGCTAGCAGCAGGCTAGCTAATCCAAATTTCAAATGATTTTAGATGAACTTCCTCACCTCTCTCAGCCTTCATAGAATTGAATTGAAGAGATTGAGGGTCTTGTTCTGGATTAGGCTTTAGCTTAATGAAATGTTGTGGCTGGTTTGATCTTCTATTCAGACCACTTAAATTTTCTCCCTGTCAGCAATCAGGCTGTGCCATTTTCTTTTTTTTTTTTTTTTTAAGATTTATTTATTTATGCCTACGAAACTGGGGGTGTAGATCAGATGCGGGGGTGAGAGGATTCACCAGAAACAGAGTGGGGAGCAGAACAGGCAGATGACTGAAGTACACTGCTGAGGGGAGCAGCAGGTGGGCCATGTGGGTCACCTCCCTGGGGTCCATGCTGCAGTGGCTGCGATAGCTTCATAGTGCTGTGTTTTAACCAATTGTGCCACCAAGGTGGGCAGGCTGTACCATTTTCTTATCACTCATATGCTCACTGGAATAGCACTAGTAATGCCCTTTGAGAACTCTCCTTGGCTTCCCAAGGGGCAGCCCCTGGCCTCCAGCTGCCTTGGCTGTCGAAGTGCTCTGTCATTATGCTAAATCACATCTAACTTTCGATTTATAAGGAGGGTCATGTGACTCATCCTTTTCTTTGAACACTTTGAACCCCACTGTAGGGTTATTAATGGCCTAATTTTAGTATTGTGCCTCAGGAAAGGGACGCCCAAGGAGAGGGGAGGCAGGAGATGGCCAGTGGAGCTGTCAGGACACACAACACCACACACATCCACAAAGTCCACTCTTGTGTGAGAGCCACGGTCACTCCAGGTCGCTGTCACCTAGTAACCTCACAGCTCACAGCCCCCAGCTCACCCAGGCACATGTAACAGCAAGAGCAGGGCACGAAGGGCCTGCTGAAGGGAAGGGGCACCTGAAGGGGCATAGTGGGAGAAGAGGGGAGCCATGGACATGTTCCCCAAGGCCCCGGGCATGCGGCTGCACTTCCACCCTCGCCGGTGTGTCCAGCCTCCTCTGGGGCCTAGGGTGACTGTGTGCACTAATGAAGGGGTCTGCTAGCTGTCCTCACACCGGGCTCTTGGAAAAAGTTCTTCAACAGAAAACTGAGCAACAAGCTCCATGGTAGGCCTCGGTCCACTACACTGGACAGGGACGGGGGCCCTGTCATCCCCAGGGCCGCAAGTCTCTGCCCAACTCCCCCGCCCCCTGCCCCCCAGCAGAAACACAAAGCAACCAGACTAGAGTGATGGGAATGAGGCATTGGGAGCCGGGGCAAGCATGCTTTATTGTTCTGCTCACAGACGTCATCCATTGCATTTCAGACCCACTGAGACAGCACCCAAAGCGAAGCCTCACCCAGGCAGAGACCCTGGGCCTGTTGAAATGATGAGGAGTCGAAGCCGTAGGGCCGGACTGAGTGGCAGGCTTGAGAACTTGGAGATGGGTGTTTGCAGTAAAAGCCCTCTCAAGGCCAGGCCCGGAAGGGGGTCAGGTTTTCAAGGCTAGGGTTGAGTAGAGCCCACAGCCAAGGCCCGGAGACCACGGCCTTGCCCTTCCAGCTCAGTCGCTCTCAGTACCGGCCGCCGGGGCAGGGCACACAGATGGGGCGAGGCCCACAGGTGGTGCGGGCCGCAGGAAGACAGGGGAGGCACGACTTGGGGGGCGAGTGGTCTGGGGCACACGGGTTGCCAGGGAGCCTAGGAGAAAAAGGGAAAGGTCAGATTGCTACGATTCCCCAGTTCCTTGTCTCAATACTCAGAGCACCTAAAATCACCTCTTTTTCCAGTAGGAAACAGTGGTCTAGAGAGAAAGGGGGGCTTGTCAGAGTCCCGTGATGAATTTGTGGCAAGACCAGAAATGACGCCCAGGGCTCTGATGGGTGCTAGGCCCTTCCCAGGCTCCAAGCTGCCGCCCCAGAACTTTGTGGTGTGGATTGCTTTCAGAAGACAGTGGCCAGCCATACTCACTTGCAGTCCTCGCCCTCCAGCAGGCCGCGGTACGTGTTGATCTCGCTCTCCAGCCGGGCCCGCACGTCCAGCAGCACCTGGTACTCCTGGTTCTGCCGCTCCAGGTCACTCCGGATCTCGGCCAGCTGGGACTCCACGCTGGTGATCATGCACTGCACCTGGGCCAGCTGGGAGCTGTAGCGGGCCTCCGTGTCTGCCAGGGTGGACTCCAAGGCATCTCTCTGGGAGGCAACACATGTGTAGGAAAGGAGGTCAGGGGTCAGAGAAGGAACAAGGAAGGTGCATGAAATCCACCTGGATCTCGAGACCTCAGAGTCCAAGAATGGAAGTTTAGGGGTCAAAGTGAGCCACAGCCAAACTTCTCATCACTTGAGAGGAGCTGATCAGCTCCCGAAGCCTCTCTGGTCTAGACTGTCTCCCCTACTGATGATAACCCTGAGTAGCCATAATGACTCAGCCTATGCACACACAAATACAGGAGCTGCAGCAAGGACATTTGTGAGTGGGGGCTGGGCCTTCACACTTCTCTGCCCAGAAAATCTGCGATGCTCAAGAACTGCACCTCTGAGGCTGACTGAGTGGTCAGAGCATGCAGAACAGGGGCCAGTGAGCACAGGGTTTCATCCGCTCCAGCCAAGGGACTCACCATGCTCTGCTGGGCCTGCAGCTCGATCTCCAGGGCGTTGACCGTGCGTCTCAGCTCGATGATCTCTGCCTGGCACGTCTGCAGCTGCTCAGAGCTCGACACCACCTGCTGGTTCAGCTCCTCAGTCTGCAACATATGTACAGGAGACCTGGGGGGATCTGGAGAGCCCTGGGAACCTGGGGCTTGGGAACCCTGGGACTCGGCATCAGAGTTTTTCAGGGGCTGTGTGGCATCATGAGCCAAGAAAGGACTTCCAGCGCTCCCTGACCTGTCCATGCATTCATGCCTGCGGACACCGTCACTGAGAGGACAGCCTCCGGCCAGGGTACACAGTGAGGTCAGGACAGCTGGCACTCGGACTCAGGTTTCTGGCCTCAGAACCCAAGGTCATTGCCATGGGAGCCACCCCCTGTCTCCCGCACCATTTCAGTACCTACCTGGGTGTTGAACCAGTCTTCAGCATCCCGGCGGTTGTTCTCCACCAGGGTTTCATACTGGCACCTCATCTCATCCAGAACACGGTTCAGGTCAACAGGTGGGGCAGCATCCACCTCGACATTGAGCCGGTCACCAAGCTGGCAGCGCAGTGAGTTCACTTCCTGTGGCACAAGACAGAATGGGCGCGTCACCCACCTGCTTCCTCACGTGCCCACCTGCTCCCCGTGGTCCCCTCCCCATGCTCCAGGCCTCGCCCACACTCACCTCCTCGTGGTTCTTCTTGAGACACAGCAGCTCCTCCTTCAGGGACTCCACCTGGGCCTCCAGGTCAGCCTTGCACAGGGTCAGATCGTCCAGGATCCTGCGCAGGCCATTCATGTCCGACTCCACCAGCTGGCGCATGGACAGCTCCATCTCGTACCTGGCAGTTAGCCCCCCGAGACCCCAAGGCTGCATTTCCATTTTATATTGAAGCTGGCTCCCACCCCAGGCTGCCTGGGGTGCTGTGTGTCCTGCCTCAGCGGCTCCTTGCAGCCAAAACCCCAAGTCCAGCCTCCTCCTGGCAGCTCTGCCAGCCCCCAAGTGAAGGAGGACCAGGACAACTCACTTGGTCCTGAAGTCGTCCGCGGCCAGCTTGGCGTTATCGATCTGCACCACCAGCCTGGCGTTCTCGGACTTGGTGCACAGGGTCTGAGAATAAAGCAGCGACTTCAGGGAAGGGCTTTCTGGTGCTTAGAAGTCCCCAGAGCAGGCCTGGGCTGCCCTTGGAGGGACGGGTCACCCAACCTGGGCTCTTGCAGCTGGGGCTCCAGGAGGCTATGGGCGTGATGGGAAACCCCCACGGTGCCCGCAGGACCTTGGTCTGGCCCCTGTAACCTGGGCCCAAGAGAGGGAGGCCTGGAAATGCTGCAGGGAAGGCCTGGCGTGGAGCTTCTAACTCCCAGCCAGCAGGGGGCTCAGGGCAGGCCAGCACCACCAGCACACTGGTGCCCCATCATGAGTGGTCCCTCTCAGGACCCCCAGGACGCTCACGGGATGTGAACTGGAATTCCAGCAGCTTTCCTTTCCCTGAGCTAGTTAAAGGGAGCCCAATCTACACCAAACACACAAAATTCACCCCGAACCTTAAAAAAAAAAAAAATGAAGAGATTAGAAATCAGAGAGTTGGGTTGTGATACAAAAGGTCATACGACCGGTTAGTCCCCTGGAACCTGCACTTAAGTTCTGGCTCCACTTACTGCCAACTAGAGGCCCCTGAACGCGTCACAGCCAGCTGGGCTTTAGTGTTCACCTCTGTAGAGTGGGTTAGTCCTATGCCCACCCCAGGCTAACCCGCAGGCGTGAGCAGGAGACCTCCGACGTGCCCAGGGGAGGACGGCTACCCCTTAGACATCCTCTCGGAGTGCTGGAGGCCCCGAAGTCCTCGCCCTCACCTTCTTCTGGAGCTCCTCGATGGTGCGGAAGTAGGACTGGTAGTCGGGGCACAGGTAAGGCACCTGCTGCTCACACCACTCCCGGATGCGGCCCTCCAGGCTGGCGTTCTCCTGCTCCAGCTGGTGCACCTTCTCCAGGTAGCTGGCCAGACGGTCGTTCAGGGACTGCATGGTCTCCTTCTCGCTGCTGGCGAGGATGCCCTCCCCGAACCAGCCCCCTCCCAAGCTGTAGCTGGTCACAAAGCCTCCGGAGGGGAGGCAGAGCGCAGGGAGGCAGCTCGCGGCCCTGCAGCTGCTTCTGCCCACCCGGGCAGAGCATGCAGAGAAGCTCCCGGCTGCGCGGGCGAGACTCGGGAGCTTGCAAGAGCTGCTGGAGTACATGGTGGCCATGCGAGTGGGCCCCCCTGGGCCCTTGAGCGACCCCGAGGAGAAGCTGGCCTTGAGGCACTTGGAAGCCATGTCTCAGCACCCCAGACACGATGACAGCTCCGAGCCGACACCCCCGATGCAGGGCGCAGCTCCTCGCCCCCGGTTTATATCACCGCCCCAGTGGGCGTGGGCCTGTACAAAGTGTTTTCTCCTCATTAAAGTTAATACCACTTTCTATCAGAACCCCTCATTAACGTGTTATTTAGCTTTCTGTGAACATTTCCCGGGCTCGTAAAAAAAGGAGCCCCGTTGGGCCACTGGCTGAGTCGAGACTCATCTCCGCCGCCCCCCGTCGCCGGGAAGACCAAGTCTCTGTCAGTTCTTCAAAGGGCGCTGTCATCAGGGCCAGACCTCAGCCTCCTTGTTAAGGGGTGTGGGAGCCCAGCCTGTCCTGACTTTCTCCAGCATTGTCTCCTTTTATGGGCCCCCAGGGAGCAGAGGCTGCCTCGGACTGGCTCCTGGGCTATAGAGAAGCAAGTCTGATGGGTGCAGAAGGCAAGTGGACACAGAAGGTTCTAGAATGGCCAGAAAAATAGGGTGATGGTGACCAGCCGTCCCAGTTTCCCCAGGTTACAGGGCTGAAGTCCCCTTGATCTTGGGCAAAATGGGACAGCTGGTCACCCTGGACTCAGCAGAGCCCCTCTGGACACTCTCTCCTCTTTTTGCCAGGAAATCCTTTCTGGTCATGTAGCCTCAGCCTCCATCAAAGCAACTAGAGGTCAACTAACTGGGCACCCGCCCACATGCAGGAAGGTCAGTCTTCTCCAGCCTGGTTGGAAAATGCAAGTCTTTCCATCTGGTTTCGTGGGAGCAGGGGAGGAGCCTGACTCCCAAGCTTCCTGAGAAGGCGCAGAGAGACGCCCCCCAGTGTTACCTCTGCTGCAGGAGTTATGGGAACTGAGGCCCAGACCCGCGGAAGGCAGGGCTGAGACGCCCAGCGCACCCAGCCTGACCTCACCCCCTTGACCCACCTCCACCTCTGCCCGGAATGGCATCCCAGCCCGACACAGCAGGCTCTGTGGAGAGAGGGAAAGACAGAACTTGGGGTGACAGCTGCCCCTGTGTCCCTGGGGAAGCAGCCCCACTCATGACTATGTGTGAACTCTGTGGGCTCAAGTCCCACGGGGCGGGCTTTCGGTTCCCACCACGGACCCGCCACCTGACATGACTTCTTCCCATCGCTCTGCTTCCTGTCAGGAGAATGGGGAAGGATGTGAATCCCTACCTCCTCGGGCTGTGGCGAGGATGACCTGCGTGCGAGGCATCAGAGCAGCACTGCTCGGGGACAATGGCCTGTGGCCTCCTCTGCTCAGACCGGCAGTGTGGACGGCCTGAGCCCACAGGACACCATGCCGGGCCAGGTGCGTGTGTCCAGGCCCCAGGTAAGCCCTCGTGAGTCACAGCCATTCCCACACCCCAGGGCCTGGTGCGCCGCGCCTGCCCAGCCCCAGCCCAAGGCTCCCTCCCGGGAAGTCCAGGCCCCATGCGAAGGACAGGGCCTGCTGGGAGCCCAGCTGAGCTGCCTGGGTGTTACAGGGCTCCGCCCAAGCCTTCCTCAGTCACAGTGTCCTGGGCATGTACTCCAGGCTCAACAAGGGCCACCCTGGGGGCGCAGAGCCCAGAGAAGCCTCAGCAGCCAGGGCCTGGGGAGCCCCAGCCATTTGTCAGCCCCCCGGGGGGGGGGGGCTTCCAGGCAACCTCCTCACCCATGCTGCCCAGGAGGGGGGCTTCTCTCCCCAGGCCCCATGCTGAGCTCTCCTCATACATCCTCTCAGTCACGTCTCACAAATTTACCAACACCCCTACTTAACAGATGAGTAAACTGAGACTCGGGAAGTTTCAAGAGGCTGCCCAGCCCCACGGCCAGTGAGCAGCGGAGCCAACAGGCCTGGCCACCTGAGGTGGCCTCTCCTCACAGCTCCCATACTCCCTGCAGCGCCCCGCAGCCAGGGCGCCCCCAGGGCGCTGAACGTCACCCACGGTCCACACCGTCAGTCGTCCCTGGGAGAGAGACCTCCAGCCGCCGGCTCAAAACCCAAGCCCCACACCACTGAAGCTGGTTCCAGCCCAGCCTGGCCTGCCCCCTGGCCTGCCCCCTGCCCCTGCCCCTCCCAACTCTGAATTCCGCAGCAGTGTGTGGTGGGCGACCCACTGGCCTATTGAACCGACGTCCTTGAACTGTCTCATGTGTCAATCCTAGCTGGCCAGGGGCCTAAGTGCTGGGGGCCAGAAGTGCCTTGTACTGCTTTTGAAACTTCTGTAGTGTCAAGCATGGTGCTGGGATTCTAGATGTCTGATAATGTGGGGGGTGGGTTGGTGGGTGGATGGATAGAGGGTGGGTGAGTGGGCGGATGAATGCTTTACCGCTGGTAAATTGAAGGACGCAAAGAAAGGTTTGAGAGGAAGGAAATACAAGAAGGGAAAGGAAGAAGACAAACTGGGTAGAGAACTGGGAGAGAAAGAAACTTCCGAAGTCCGGCTGGCCCTTACAGGGAGCAAGCCAGGCTGCAAGGGCAAGAGAGTACACCTGTGTGTGGACGCGGGCACATGACGGCCTGTGTGTGGACGCTGACACATGACGGCCAGCCCCTTTGGCAGAAAGCCAAGTGCTTTCTGGGGCAAATGCAAGTCTAAGGGAAGACAGCAGCCATAAGCCAGAGCCAAAGGTGTTACCTTCTCGATAAGCTCCTGTAGATAGTTTTATAAAATACATACGTAATATTTTTCAAGCTATGAAATATCCTATGAAGTGATCTGATCTTTTTCTATTTCTTCTTAGCATTATTTTTAATCGGGAAAAAATGATTAACCAGAACCCCATATCAGCGAAAACAAACACAAGTGTCCCGATCACTTCCACTCTGGGCCCTTCGTGGCTGTTCCCATGGGACCTGCACTCCCCAGAGCATGCCGTGGGGGGTACTTGACCTTGCCTTAAAAAATTGCTCCCCCTTCCTCCTCTGCCCTTCCTTGAGGATTCCACCCACTCCAGGTCTCCCCAGAGCCTTCGCTGGCCCCCGGCGCAGTGAGCTCGGCTCTCCCCTTGCTGCGAACCCGAGCGAGCGTCTGCCCCACCCGGCACCTGCAGGGCGGCCAGCTCCTGGCCAGTGTGCCTGTGGCCCTCTGTGGGTGAGGCCGCTCCCTGCCCCTCCCTGGATGAGCCGCTGCATTAGCACTGGGGTTTCCGTGCTTGGGGTGTTCAGCCTGTGGGGGTTAACTGATCCCTTGGCATGAGTATATATGAAAGAGAAAGACGGGTGTCGTCATAGCTGGAGCTGCAAACCAGGTGAGCTAGCCCAGAAATAAAGTTTTGTTCTGTGGGAAGGTCTGATAAAATGGAACGTCTTACAGCTCTCTCCACGTCGAGGAACGAGCAATGACATCACAGTCAAAAGACACACGCTGTCCCACACCTGCCCGGCCGGTGCGGAGGTGAGCAACCCAGCGCGTCAGGGAGGTGTGAGCTGGGCCTGAACGAGGGGGTGTGTGAGCCTGGGGGGCAGCGGGACTCTTCCACCAGTGCGGGTGCCCCCAGCAGTTTGCAAGAAGCCGAACAAAGCTGCTTACGGGGAATACGACTGCGCCGTGGTCTGCGTGCGAACGGCTGGACGCTGGAGCGTGCTCGTGACGGGGACCTGCTGCGCGGTGCCAGACCTTGACAGCGTGGCCGTCCCCCCGCGGTTCTGATGTCTCTGCGCCAGCAGCCAGGTGAGAGGCACAGCTGGCCGCCCGCCTCAGCTCCTGAGGCTCAGGCTGACACGCTGCGGGCCCCAGAGCGGGCGCTGTGCCCCGGGAGGGCGGGCATGTGGTCTGGCCCTGGCCTCGGACCCAAAGCCAAGAGGGTCTTCTGAGGCCTGGGTCCTGGGGTTCACTGTCCAGCTTCAAGGCGCTACTGACACAACACAGGCCCCGCCGACGTCCAGTTGTGTCAGGCCTGCCCAGGGCCTTCCCCTTGCCCAGTCTCACCTAACCAGCACCCTGGCAGCCCCTTCCTGGGTGCTGAGGCCCACTGGAGTCCCCCAGCAGCCCCATAGCCCAGAAACTAGGCAGAGCACATGGCGCGACAGCCCGTAGGGCGATGCCCCTCTCTGCTGTGCGTCTCTGTGACCCGGGATGACTGCTGCATCGCTGACTTGCCCAGGCAAGACTCGGGCTTAGCACCGAATACCTGGTAGGGAAGAGCACCAGGCCTTTCCCAAGGAGGTCTCCGGGAGGTGGGGGCTGGGGGGGTGGGGCAGAGAGGGGGGTGGGAGCAGAGGGAACTCCAAGAACAACAGTCACAGCAGCGAGTCACAGCAGCCAGCAGGGGCCTCCTCTCTGCTCTCACTCCTGGGGGGCCTGGGGCAAGTGGCTGTCCCCTGTGGGCGCATGTTCTCACCTGGAGGCAAGGCGGACACAGAGGAGGCCTGTCAGAGCCCTGCTGCTCTGATTAAGGGGGGCCTGAGGCCTGCACAGTTCAGCCAGCAGGACCCAGGCCACGGTGCTCTTGCCCACAGCAGTTCTGACTGACCTGTCCTGCTCGGTGCCTCTCCCCACCCCCACTGTCGCTGTGCCCTTCACTTCAGCATCCAGTGTGGGGGCTCTGGATTCACCTGACCTTCTGCCCTCACCTCACTTCCCTTCCTGGGGGCTCAGGGTGGCTGCCTGATTTGTTTGGCTTGGGCTGGCCCTGAAACTCCCTCTCCTGAACTGCACCTCCGTGTTGGCCTGGAGGAGGGCCAGCAGGGCGAAGGGAGCTTGACAAGGAAAGAAACTGGAGGTAAGAGAGATGCCACCGGCACTGGGCAGGGCCACTGAGAGGCCTTAGGAGCCTTTGTGTTTTGGAGGGGAAGCCAGAGGGCCATGCCAGGGCCAGCTGGACTGGGCCAGTGTCTGTTCTTGTTGACCAGAACCCCAGGCTGCCCCGTGATTAAATGTTGTGAATCACCCTGTCAATTCCTGCCACTCAGGATCGAAGAAGATTGGCCTTAAACTAAACCCACAACTTTCCTGCAACCCCTGACCCTCCCAGCACCCCACCAACCACCCCA